CCGCCTCGCACTGACGGCTTTGGTTCTTGGCAGCAGCCTTGCCTGTTCCCTGCCTTTCACGTTTCAGGCATGGCTGAATTCAGGCACGTTGCGGCTCAGCTCAGATCGATGGGAGAATAAATCAGGGCGGTGTGAGAGCCTGTTTCTGGACTGCGGGAGCAGGCACGTGGCAGGAGGGCTCTCCCCTTGCTGCCTGCTGCCGTGAGCGTTCTCCCGGGATTGTGTTGGTCCGTATCATCCTGCGTGGGAACAGCCAGGCTGCGCTGGGCTTCACGCCTTCCTGTAAACCGTGATAGAAAGCTATGTGATTAACATCTATGTGCCAAGGTCTGTGCCCCGGCACGCCATGCTATGGCTTGGGCAAGGGTCTCATTTTCTGCTTAGTCCTACAAAGCCTGACCTGCTGCATGGAGCGAGATAATAAGCTGCTATAGGGGATCTATAGGGGTGTGAGGCAGCACGGGCTCTGTGGGGCTGTGCCTTCCTGGGGCTCTGCTGGTCTCCTGTTTTCAGGAGGAAGATGCCCTGGGCAAGCCTGGGGTGGCTGTGCAGGCTGTGGTGTGGGCAGGTCTTGCAGGGCAGATGCTGCCCATTCGAGCAAACCTGGGCTGCTCTCCCTTCACTGCAGTGAGAAAACACCCAGGAATTTCCACCCTGACGAGCATTTGGATGCTCCTTCACTTCCACCTGAAGCTGAGTGCTGGAGGTCTGCGCTGAGCATTACTTATGGATTTACTCATAAATATTTATCACTGCAGGGAAATTCCTGTCTTGAAGCTATGTATCTCCTGGGGCTGTCAGGGCAGAGCTTGTTCTGTTTCAGAATGGGATGCCTTGGCCTGAGAAGAGGTGTCTGGGCTGGTTTTTGGGCAGCGGGGAGCCTGCTCTGCTCACCAGGCAGGCAGCTCGCCTTGGGGTGAATGATGGAATGAATCCATCTCCTGTGCTTTCCGTGTGCCTCTGGCGTGGCATTCATCGGCAGCCCGATTAGCCCAACTGGTAATTAAATCCTATTGATTAGCTAAATGTCACTGGCATGGAGAGCAGCTGGCAGCGGCTGGGGTGCAGCTCTCCGCAGGATCGCAGCAGGGATTTTGAGGTTGGGTAGAGGAAAGGGAAAAGATGTAACATGGTCTCAGATCCGCTGCCCGTGCTGTGATGCACAGCACCGTAACTGGGACCAGTTGGAGCCGGGACTGGCTGAAGCCAGTGGAGTTCTCTGCCCCCATGTATGAGCCCTGTGGTCCTCCTCTGCCTCTCAGCTTTCTCGGAGCAGCTTTAGGCTGAAGGTCCTTCCACGCAGGGGAAGCAATGATGCTGCTCACCCTGTGAGTCCTTGGGAGGGGTGAGCTCCCGTGGGAGCCCCTTTGCAGGGCAGAGCCCTCGCAGCTGCTCTCATGTTAAATTCAGCCCTGTGCCAAACTTGCATTGAGTGACACGGGAGGGAGGTAGATGTGACATTAGAAGCCATTTTCCAGGCTCCTGTCACTCCATCTTCCATAGCGCTTCTATTAAAAAAGCCTTTAATAGCCTCCTCAGAAGGTAATTTAATTGAACTGAATTGATGGGTGGATTACAGATCTGCCTGTCTTTCTCCATCCATTTTCATGTGAATTTGCTTGCTTGCCTCTGATTTCATTTGCCACGCAGCACCGGGCAGGTGGAGCACCTCTGCCATGGGAGAGACTTTGCTTTGCTGAGCTGTGAGCACCTCGCGCTCCCGGCTGGACCCTGGGGACCATCCCAGCCCCTCACTGCCAGGTCGGCCCGTGCAGCCACAGCCAAAACCACCACCTTCCTCCTGTCCTCCGTATCCTCTGTCTTCCTCTTCTGCTGGGCTGGGGACACCACCTGAGAGCACTGCAGTTAGAACACAGCCTTTTAGCCTCTATTTGCTGATGATGTTTTTATCCTTTTGGCTCTGCTTTAGAAGCAAAATCCTCTTTGCTGGGCACCGTTTGGTCTCCCTCAGCCCGGTGCAGCACGCTGGTATCCGAAGCAGATCCCTCACCAAGGTCAGGAGCAGCTCAGACCCTCCAAATCAGGGAGAGGTGGGACGGGAGGGGCTGCCTCGGTGCTGTGCATTTGGCTGGGTGCCTTGTTCCCTACCCGTAAAACATGGAAGCAATTTCCCCAGCGTTTCCTTCTTTGATTTGCCCAAACCCAAGCCCTGATGATTACATTTGCATCGCACGCAGCCTTTCCACCAGCTGCACGTACGAGCGGGTTCCTGCCAGGTGGATCCCTGGCAGCTGCACGCGCTCCTCAATCCCAGGCACGGAACGCTCTGCTCATCACACGAAGGGCTGCAGCATCACCCAGCCTGGTTTCCGTGCCCGGGCTGGAGCTGGGGTGGGTTGGGTACCTCTGCAGGGAAATCTTTCTCTGATCCAGGCAGAGGATTGCCTTCAGACAGCCTAGAAATAACTCCTGCAGGGATCCTGCAGCCAGGCTGGAAATAATCCAAGGACTTTCATGATGTAGCCTTTATCGTTTCCACTTAGGACTGTTACAAATTAGGCTCCATTTTTCATGCTCCCACATTGCTTCCCTACCCCACGGAGTTTGTTTCTGTGCAGTCTGGGCAGTGGTGGCTCTGGGCTGGGTTTGTGCCTCACCCTTGGATAATTTTCAACCTGCTGGGTGTTTAAAAGAGGAGCGGGCTTGTTCCCTCCCTCTACCTGAAGCAGGATCAAGTCCAGAGCATCGCTATAACAAACGTGATCCACGTCATCCTTTAAGAGCTGTGAGGTTCTAGCAGAAAATCCATCAGGAATGGCTGCAGCAAGTGTTTCTTTGCGTTTGTGCTCAAGCACCCCCAGATTTCCCTGCAAACGCCGTGGCAGTCGGCTGGTGACAGCCTCCCGCTGCCCTGGAAGCTCTTCTTCCTTCAGCTGTGCCTTAATAGCAAAGAGTAGGTAGGTGCTATCACACCCTCTGGGAGCACTTAGGAGTAACACCACAACAGCAGAGGTGTGTGTTTGCTCATAAGCAATTATGAAATGATAAAACCCTGTAATTTCAAACCTTGAAAATCACTGCGCAGATTTACTTAACCCCCAAATTAATCGCGATCAGGGTGTCAGAGCGAGCTGCTGGAAGAGCGCAGAGGTGCTCGGCGGCCGGTGCCAAGCGTTCCCACAGCCCCTCCTCAGCACAAACCGCAGGCGAGGTGTGCTCGCCTTCTGCCTCTTAGCCCGGACCCCTGTGTTAACCCTGTTCCTCTGTTCTCCTTCCCCGATCCCGGGGAAACCACGCAGTTACTCCACATCCCAAGGAAACGGCAGCGGTGGTCAAGCTCAGCGAAGCCACCTTGCCTGCCCCACGTCTTGCTGTTGTTCTAACTCCTGGTTTTTGCTGTTTCTTCTCCAGGGCCTGAAGCCGATGGACCATAACGGTTTGGCCGATCCATATGTCAAATTGCACTTGCTTCCTGGAGCCAGTAAGGTGAGATGCCTTTTCATTTCTTCTTCCCTTCCTGGGGCTGTGCCTTTGCTTTTGAGACCAGAGCTGGGAGGTTCCCCAGAGAGAAGCTCTTCACTCAGGTTCTGCTGGTTGCTGCAGCCAGACCTCGAGTCTCCTGCCCAGCTCTCAGGAGGGGTAAGAATTTGGGCTAAATCCATCCTTGCAGGAGTAGCAAATGCCTTTCTGGTAAACCACTGCCTGGGAGCTGGGTGCCAGCCCTGAACCTCTCACCCGTGGAGCCAGGGCTGCAAACGCCGCACTCCAGAAGCCTCTGGGAAACACCACATGAAACGATCTGGAGCTATAAACAAACCGGCTCCTTTTTTTTTTTTTCCTTTTTTTCCCCTTTCCCTTTTTCTTTTGCATTTAAAACCCCTCAGATAAAGCAGAGTATAAATCGTAAGGGAAATAATTCCATCTACTTACGTTCAGCGCTTGCTGGAGAGAAGAGTAATTAAAGATATTGATGTGTAGTGAGAGCTTGGTGTAACTGATGGGGATGTTGAATTTAAATGCTAAATGTATGTGTTATGAATATTAATTGCACTCTTATTTTACACTAAAGGAAAGACCTTTTTGAGGGAGGTATATTTACTTGCTACGGTTCAGTTGAATTAATTCGTAATGTTCAGGGCGGTAGAGGGAGTTTTTAACCACATTTCAAGTTCTGCTGGAAATAGGAGAGCCAGGAGCAGTTTCATCAGCGATATTATCTGTCATTTCCATGTTTTGCAAATGCATTGATTAGCATTTCTGCTGGAGGTGATGGAGACCGGAGAGGTGGGGAGGAAGCTGGGAGCTGAGGGTGGCACAGGAGCTGCCGACTCCACAAGCCCAGAGCAGCCATGGGGGGACCCTCTTCTTGCCCCCGTGTCCCTCTGCCCCTGTGCTTGTTCTGTGTCTGTGTCTGGATGTTTCCTGGGCTGGATGTTTCTGTACAATCGTTCCAGCAGCCGGACAGTCTCCGAGTCCTGCGGGTGTTTCTGTCCCAGTGGTGGCTCTCGGGCACCCGCGGCAGAGCCCGGCTGGAGCTGTGGGGAGCAGGGTGGGATTCATTCCCCTCACACTGAGATCTCCCCGTGAGCTCTTTACTGATGACTAAGTCATTCCAGATGGGAGAAAAGGGCTCTCCCAGAGCCCAGTTCCTCTGATTTGTGTCCCTTGCCTCGAGCAGCGTTAGCTGCTGGGTGATGCCAAGCACATCACCTCCTTGCCTAAACCCACTTTCCTTTCTGGCCCCCAAACCCCAGGATCAGGACAACCCCCCCTCCTCTTAGCTGCAAGTTCTTTTCTTCAGCCCAGGCTTCATATCCCGCTCACATTTAGCTCAGGGTGGGTGAACCAGAGATGAGGAATGTAGAAGCTTCCTATAAAGAGGTACGAGACAACGTTGAAGAGCAGATTTCTCAAGAGTTCTGACATCCAGCGGTGGCAGAGGCAGGGCTTGAACTTTCTGGCCGTACACCTAATTAGAGGAAAAACACCTGCTCCATCAGGCTGTCCCAGGCTGGGGGGGGATGATGGAGAAGCCCCATCTGAAGCCTGCAGCCCTTTGTGTCTGCCCTCCCTCTGCCCCTCAACGAAAGAGAGTGGCTCGTGGGGTAGCATTAATGTCTCCCAACCTGGGGGGGTCGAGGGGTGCCAGGATGCTGGGGACACAAGTGGAGGTGACAGCTGGGTTGTCCTCAGCTCTGCAGAGCTGCAGTGCTGGAAAGAGTTGCTAGTGTTAACAAAATGCGTATTAAGGAAGTTATTTTGAGTCAGGCAGGAATGGGAGCTGTGCTGGGAGCAGAAATGCAAATAAACAGCCAGAACAGCAAATTGGTATTTTTTAATGAACCTGAAAAGACGTTTTTTTGTCTCTCTTCTACTGCATAAATGAAATCCCTGTCCTCTCGCTGTGCTCTGCCAAGGTTCCCATTTTGCTGGCGCTTTCCAGCATGTGGGGTGCGGGGTTGGATGGCTTTGCAAAAGAGCCGGTGAGTCGCCGTGTCTCTGCCGCTCTGCTTATCGCTGCGGTTGGGGTGGATTTGGGCCACCCCATTAAGAACCAGCTGGGTTATGGCCCTGGGGCAGAGGGACAAAACCAGTTGCCCCTTCTTCTCCAAAATGTGCTTCCTTTCCTCCTGCCTTCCCTGCCCACTGGTGCCCAAAGGAGCACCTGGGGCTGGGTCCCGCTGACCACCGTCTCCTTTGCTTTTCCAGGCAAACAAGCTGAGAACCAAAACTCTGCGCAACACGCTGAACCCCACCTGGAACGAGACGCTCACCTACTACGGCATCACCGACGAGGACATGATCCGCAAGACCCTGCGGTAGGGCCCCGGGGGAATGAGCAGGGTCCTGAGCCCGGTGCTGGGGATGATGTGTGTCCCTTCCCCTCCCCGTCCTGGTGATGATTTCCCAGGGACCCCCACACCCCAGCCCCACGAGATGATCCTGGCTCTGCTCATGGCAGAGCAGAGTTATTACCCACCAGAGCTCACAGCCCGTCCACGAATCCATCACCCCCGCAGTGACCGACGTGTGATTTACGGGGAGCCTGGGCTGGAATAGCCGGTGAGGAGCTTGGTCCTGCTTTGTCATGAACTTCATAACTCACTGAGCTCCTGCTTGCGGACCTGGGGTTATTTGGTTTTAACTTCTTCATGCCCGGCTCTCATGAGCAAGTGTTACGGCTTTGTGGTCATACCTTGCTGAGAAATCCTTCCTGGGAAAGCTCTGCGCCCCTTTCGAGGCTGAGCTTTTTTAGAAGAAAGCTGGAGGCATCAGTGAATTATTGTCAGACGTTTGTGTGTATTTACTCTGTGCTCTGGGTTTGGTTCCGTCTCTGTGCATTCAGCATCTCCCAGGGCTGGGAGACATTGTGTGGGGCTGGAGATGGGCAGGGGATGTGCAGTGGGGCCACGTGAGCTTGGAAGTGATGCTTTGCAAACACAAAGGGTTTTGTTTCTTGGCCATCATCCCACCTGGGTGAGGGCAGGGAATGACCTTGAGCCCATAGACGGATCCTGCTCAGGTGCGGTGCTGGGCAGCCTCGTCTGCTCCAGCACCATTTTGATCTGGGGCCACTGCACAAGAGAGTTTGCTGTAAGATCTGCTGCCAAAGAAAGGAAGATTTTGCATCCTGATCTGAGGACTTGGGGCTTTGTCAGCTCCGTGGCTGGAATCCGACCCTCCTTATTTGCAGGTACCCAGAGAGTTTATTATTTTCCCCGTGACAGGAGTGCAAAACTGCCTTATAAAAGGTCTCGCTCAGAGGTGAATTTGGGCAGAGACTACCTGTTGTCTGCAACGTGCATAGAGATGAGAAATTTAGCGCCGCAGATTATTTCACATGGAAAATATTAGTCATGCTGAAAGTGCTGCAGGCTTGTCGGACTGGAAAGCCTCTAGTTTATTATTATTATTATTGTTATTGGATATTTTTTTTATTTTTCTTTGAAGTTTTCAGCCTCTTCAAGCATGGAAATCAGTTTGCAGGAAGATGTTCAGCTGAGTTGTTTGCTCCACAGAGCAGAAGGGCTTGACCCCCACCTCTTTGAGACCCTGGTAGTGGCTTCTCCATGGGGAAGGGCTGCACTTGCTTGCTCCTGGGAGGCAACAGGGATGCTCAGTGGCAGGGCACGTGGACCGGGCTCGATTTGCTCTTCTCCCCACAGAAATCCCTTGTTTGCACATGCCTGCTGCTGCCTGCCAGCCTGGGGTGCTCTGGGTGCTTTGGGC